CGTCTCTAGATCCGTTCTCGCGGGCGGGGGGGCAGGGGAGAGAGAGACTTTTGGCTTCATGCAAGGAAAGCAGCAAAAGTCTTTCTTTCTCTCCCCCAAACTCCACCAGAAATGAGTCTTTGTGAGACTTGTCATGCTGGTGCAGCTTCTTGAAGCAAGATGCCTTGCAAGGTCCCAAAGACTCATTTCTGGCAGAGTTTGGGGGAGAGAAAGAAAGACTTTTGCTGCTTTCCTTGAGTGCAGCCAAAAGCAGAAGAAAGAAGCGGAAAGAAGCAGTCCGGTGGCCAGGCAAGGTGCATGGGGTGAGTGGGGCAAGTTCCCCCCCTCCACCTTTTCCCCTCTCCCCTCACTACCTCGTGTTGTTCGCATTGCGACGCAAGCCTTGTGTTCCCACGGACCAGTGCAGCCTTGTGTTCCCATGCAGCCAGGATTAATTGCTTTGGGGTTGACATTTCTCTGCAGACCACCAAAATTTTCTCACAGACCACCAGTGGTCCCCGGCCCACTGGTTGGCAACCACTGATTTAGACTACACTGTTTACTATTACTAAAGTAACAGTGTACTATTATTACACATTAACTCTGCTCATACAAAAAAAATAGTCTTTCAACAAGTTGGGTAATTCCTTGCAAGGACAAAAGAATTCCTGAACCTGAGAATCTGACACAGCTGACTTTTTCCCCTACAGTTATTTCAGAGATTTTAAATGTCAGTGATGTTACAGCAACAATTAATCCAAAGGCAGAGCAGAGGGGAGGATAGCAAAGGTTTATCATTTGACTCTCAAAATTGCCCTGCGCAATTTCAGTTGATGAGTCATAAAGCAGGCGAAGGCGGGGGAACAGTTTTTACCATTCATCAGCTGTTAAAAGAAATGAAGGTGCAAGAGAAAAATTGCAAACTGCTCATAGTCGTTCACAGAGGTTTTTTTTTTTTTTTAACAAAGGAGGATGCCCCACGTAGTTCATGACAGAGGCAGATGTACCCTGCACATGTTCACAATGTGTTTCCCTTGTGCTATTACACAGCATGCCAAAGATATGAGATCTCAGCACATGGAATAGGACAGAACATTATTAGCTGTTGATAAAAACATTAATACATTTACCATTCTATATGGAAAATATTTATTTAATTTAAACGGCATTCCCAATCAACAATTCTGAGTCGTTTAAATCAAAGTCTGAAGCTTTTTTGAAAACAAGAAAGCAACCAGCAAAACTTTACTTTCTGTATAGCCCTTTAACTGCAATAGTGCATGGAAAAGTTGGGGCTGTACTATGTGCTAAGACATTTTCTTTGTAATAATGCTTTATCGTATAAACCAGGAATCTGCAGGAAATTATCAGGCTATGGCCTATTTGCAAGTGGGCCACACGAGTGGCAGGCTGCCATGCACTGTGTGTAGCTCAACTTGCATGAGTGGTGGGCTGGCACACAGGCACATGCCACTCAACTTGCTCAAATCAAGTTGCGCGTGCAATGAATATGTATGCCAGCCCACCGCTTGCGTAAGTTGAACGGCGTGCACATATGTGCACCACCCCGCTGCTTGCACGGCCTGGTTCTCCTCTGCCCCTGCCAGGCTGCTAAGCCGCAAAGGCTGGGGACCATTGGCATAAACCACAACTGTTGGCCTCTCTCATTCTAAGCTATAAGCCATCTTTCACCTGACATGCTAAATCAAAAGCAAAGAAAATCTATTAAGACTTTCAGGTGAATGGTGGCTTATATCTTTGACATTATTTTAGTACATTTAGAATGTACAATCTCTACGATCAAGGGAAAACATGGGGTCTAAAAACATTCAGGGGTTTGCTGCCCAAATGCTTATTTATCCAAGGAAAGAAAGAACCAGGCTTAGAAGACTGAAAGAGACATTCTGAGACACGCTCTAGAGACTACACTAATCAGGTTGTGTACAGTGGGATTTCCCTCCCCCCGCCCGCCCACAATAGCCCACTTCCGAACTACTCCTTTTTGTTCTGTTTTGCTTTTCCTGTTAAACCAATTTTTGTTTGTTTGTTTGAGTCATTCTGCTGGTGGACGGACAGATGGACAGACACAGGGCTGAGTCCCTTTGCATTATTTCTTTCCAACATTCCATTGGGCTGGAAACAATAAAAAAAAGAAGACTGCAATTTGGTTGTAATTAAAGTTATTATTTCAGGCATTTATGGAATAAAGCTCTTGGAAATATGTTTTCAAGTCACTACTGCCAAACACCTTGTATCTTTCCTCTGCTAATCTAAGAGTAGAAAAGGTAAAAAAAGTCTTTTTGTTGAGTTTTTTCCTTCTGCAAAAATGGCAGGTTTTCAAGGGGATGTTTGTCAGTTTCATAAATCTTTTAAGAGATTTTCGGAGAGGGGAGGAGCTGGCGTTGCTACGGTACGGTCTGCAATCGAGCTCTAAGATTGCAGCCGATATCTTCGCCCCTGGCCGGTCCAAATGGACCTAAACCGTTTAAATAAAATAAAACCATGAAGGATAAGGTTACTTACTAATGGTTCCTTTAAAAAAAAAAAATCTTCACTGTCCTGTCCCCATATCAAGGTCAGCTTATCTCTTAATACCAGTTTTGGGAATATGAATATTGTACTCATGTTCTTTTTAGAGACTTCCATAGTAACTACTACAAAAAGGGAATGCTGGACTAGAAAGGTCCTTAGACTGATTCATGATGGTTCTTCTTAGGTTATGGTATTTGATAAAGCTAGATAAAAATATCTAAATTTCATGAGGATTTAATGCAGGACTTTGTATTACTAGCAAGCACCATGTATTGCTGCAATCTATTGAGATTTCTAAATTCTGAAGAGAGAATTTCAAAAGCAACTTTTTGTTTACAGTATAACAAACTGTGCACACAAGCACCACATAATTCACAACACTGTTCCAGAACTCCTACTGTAAACAATTAGCATCAATAGGGCTGAAATTAGAGAAAACTAGAGAAACAGAACGCATATCCCTTCAAGTGCTTCAGATTCAGCAGGGGAGTTTGTAACATGATCAAATTAATAGCTGGCATAAATCAACTGCTCACCAAAATTAATGAGGTTTTTAACACAGCCAGCATTTCAAGACTACATTAGGCAATAGAAGGCACACGTGTTGTCACAATGCAAGAAAAATGAGGTGACCTGGGGGGAAAATAGAAAGGGGGTGTGTGTCCATGAATCACCCATGCTGTCAAAACAGCATTGAAATAAGTACTGCAAGTGGAAAATGCACACTTGGGATTCCTCCTTCTGCTGCTTTGTAGTCTTTTAACTACAAACTATCCCTTTTCTTAGACTCGTCTTCATTTTAATATAATGAAATCTCATTTGATCAGATCTTAATGGAAAAGACTTCACATGAAGCAAAGCAAAGCAAATCTCCATTAAGATTTATATTACTTGCATAAAGAATTACCTGAATGATACAAATATGTCATTTGCATCTTCACTGATGTGATATCCACATTATGCAAATGTCAGAAATGAATGTATATTTATTTATGTAAAAATGTCATCACACAAATGATGTAACTCCAAAGATAACCTACTCTGGTTCTTCCTGCACTATGCTCAATCAGACTATTAAAATGAGGTTTTGCTGAAATAAAATAAAATACACTTCAGGTATGGAACCGTGTGACCTATTAAAATACAACCGCCAATTCAAATTCTCTAATGAATGTTGTAATTGTATCCCGGAGCTTGGCGGTGGGGGGGGTGGATATGTGTGAAAATGGGAGAGGCACGATCGCTGCTGCCTCTTCGCCCCCCAACCCCGCACACTTCCACCACCAAAACACTACCACTGCTGAATGGTCCACGGCAGCAACGGATATGAAAATGGGAAGCTTCCAACTGCTGCCACTGTTTTGCCCGCTCACTGACTCACCAGGCTGGCTCTTCCTCCAGCCGCTGCAGTGAGCTGTCCCTGCAGCAAATTGTGGGGTTGAGTTGTCCTGCAGTGACTTAGTGGCAGTGAGTTGTGAGCTGGCCACACTGAGTAGTCCTAGATCCATTTGACTGCTTGACCTTTAATACCTAGTAATGTAGTGCTACTTTTCAGCACTGAATATCCAGTTAAATTATTATAATTATATTTATGAAATTTAGCTGGGTTCACATACTACATGAGCCTTGATATGGTTTGCTTGATTTGACATGTTTTGCAAACCAAGACAGAGTGTCTCTAAATGATAGCTGCTGGCATAATGTGCTATTTGTTCTTCTTCCTGTTTTTATCTTCATCATCATCAAATTTATTTGTCACTCATCTTGCGGTTCAAGGCAATTCTTGTTTGATGGTTAATGGTACAGTATATTGTTTGAACCTTGCCAATTAAACTTAAACCATTAAGCTTAAACCATAAAGACTGGATAAACAACCAATGGCTTATCAAATATATGAATTAAATCATACCTTTATACAGTAGTATCAAACGTTTAAAATTACCACTGGACATAGAAACCAGTGCCACAAAAGTGTTAGTTGTAAACAATTTATTAATTTATCCAGCTGCAATATGTTTGGTGAAATATTCCTTTAGCTTTTCTAGTACCTATGGCCCTGAGCAGTTGTATTAGTATAATGAGAAATAGTATAATATTATGAAAAATACCCTTGATATACATATGCTACTTTGTCTCCAACCTATGCTATCTTTCTCTCCCCCTTTTGCTAAAGGGAACTCTGATTCAGTTATGATCTTGCTAAACATGGATTTCTGCATAGCTTACTCAACCAGTTCACAGCTTTGTAATGACTCTTTGTCCACGTAATCATCACTGCTTTGCTAACATTTGACTTACAATCAGAATAATTTTTTGTGTCAAATAGTCAAGCGTGATGAAAAGGATTGGTGATAAAAGGATACTCAAAGGAAAGATCAAGTTTTCATTGCTTGCTTTATTTTCTTCTCCTTCTCCAGGCAAGTGAACCTGACTGTCACACGAGTCCAAGGGAGCAATAATCAAAGAGAAATAAAAGAGTAAATTCTTACCACAAACTGGTTGATGTCTCTCTCAAGTCCCATGTTGGGAAGATCTGGCATCATATGTGCTACCACCTTGAATCCAGCATCTTTGGCTAAGTGGAATGATTCACACACGGCCTTTACTGTATGGCCCCTGGATTAAGGAAATTGTTGAGAAACTTACATATACATATTCAAAAATTATGTTCCCCATGATGAAAACCTCTTTGAGTAAACATTTTAGAGTATCTATATTCAAAACTCTTCACCTTTTAAATATTATGAAAACTAAAAATCTATAAATAACAACATTAAACGATCAATATAATCACAACATTAATAAGCATGGAACAGAAAAAGGCCTGGAAACTATGTTCTAGACAAAATAACTCTAAACATGTTGATCATATTGGTTAAAATCTTTTTTATATCCCATTGTCAAAAAAGGAGTAATTCAAATGTTAATAGACATATAAAAAATGCTATAAATCTGGTAATTTTCCCCCTTCTAGTGTCACACAATTTTTTAGACAAACCCTATACCCATAATTTTTGATACCAACGGATTTCAAGTTCTGAAGCTACAATCAAGAAGAAAATATATATAATTAATATATAGTAACTGATTGACACTCATATAAACAAGCCTGCCACTTCCGCAAACACTAAAGACAGAAACATGTTCAATTGGAAAATGGATGGAGTACACATTTAATAACATTCTTTCTACGAACCTCATTTTCTACCCATATTCTATTCCATATTACTATATCTGTTAATTTTTCTAACGTCAATTGAGTTAATGTAGGAAAAATTAGAAAGGATAGTATATTTACTCAAACATGGAAGGTTTACCTTCCATATTGCAATATTCTCTATATTCAATTATTTATTTGTTTGTGAAAGACAACAGGATCCTTAAAAGTATGCAGCTACCTGATATAGGCATGAAAATATCTTCACCTTCCAGATTCTCTCTTCTTTACAGGAGAAAGAAGTCTTTGCGGGAAGATTAATAAATGCATACAAGACCTGGGATTATTAGGGCAAGAATTCTAAATACACACAAACAAATCCACAATACTAGGAGGCAAATATTGGACAGAAAAATGAAGCATTCTGTTGGCAGAACTGATAGGCAGTTCTGTTGATTAAAGCATTGCGCTTAATCCAATTAATCATGATAATATGGAACTGCATATCAGTTCTGCCAACAGAATTTATTTTCCCTTTGGCCTACTAAGATTATAGAATCTTCTAAAGTGCATCCAGGTTGTTCGTGATGGAGAAAAAGAATGAAGGAAACTCCTATTGCATAGGGAGAAACTCGTAAAGCACTACGTTGAATGATTTATTGCAATACCAATTTCTAGAGTTTTAAATGAAGGCTAAGAATCTTTCATTCTGTTCCTTCCCAAATGTTTTACTAATCCCCTTTACTTTGTAGGATCTTCCTTTACATATTTTATAGATATTGCTTATAATATTGCCACACAATTAAATTCCAAAAAGTATATCTCTATCTCTATTTCTATCATAAGCAAAGAACCAACCTGCCTGGCTAAGACTAGCCCTCGTTACTCGTGTCAGCAGAGAAGGTCTGTTGCAGATCCTGATTCCGACTGGCAGGATCCAGAAGAGCCTTTTCTGTTGTAGTGCCAGCCTTCCGGAACATCCTGTTCCTCCCTGCGGACTGAGTTTTGCTCTCACCCTCCTATCCTTCTGCAAAGGCCTGAGGATCTGACTCTGCTGTTTGGCCTGGGGCCCCAATATGGAAGTACCACACTGAAGGTGGCTACTGGGCTAGTTAGCTGACCCCATCTCCCCTCTGCCCTTTCTGCTCCCCCTCTGCCCTTCTTTTAAATAATATTATTGTACTTTCCTTATTTGTTTTTATTTTTTCACTGCTTTGCTATTGTTATGTTTATGTTTTTTATTGTTTTTTCCCTTTCTATTGTAAGACACCCAGAACAGCCCCACGGTGAGATGGGCAGCAAATAAACTTAACAAATAAATGTATGTATAAATTTTATTTTAGATGCCCAGAGTGATAAGTAGTAGTAAGACCACACCTGGAATACTGCAACCAATTTTGGTCACCATACTACAAAAAGGATGTTGATACTTTGGAAAAAGTTCAGAGAAGAGCAACTAAGATGATCAAAGGCCTGGGGATTAAAACATATGAAGAACAGCTGCAGGATTTGGATTTGGCTAGCCTAAAGAAAAGAAGAATTAGGGGTGATATGACAGCAGTATTCCAGTACTTGAGGATCTGCCACAAAGAAGAGAGGGTCAAATTATTCTCCAAAGCACCAGAGGGCAGGACAAGAAACAATGGTTGGCAACTAATCACAGAGAGAAGCAACCTGGAATTAAGGGGAAACCTCCTAACAGTGTGGACAATCAACCAGTGGAACAGCTTTCTTTCAGAAATCATGGGTGTTCCATCATCCATTCTAAGAAAAGGGCATTGAGCCATTAAGACTGTTATTTAGAGTTACACTGTGAACTGAGCTTCGTCTAAGCCAGTGGTTCTCAACCTGTGGGTCGTGACTCCTTTGGGAGTCGAACAACCCTTTCACAGGGGACGCCTAAGACCATCGGAAAACACATATTTTCGATGGTCTTAGGAACTGAGCCATAATTTTATGGTTGGGGGTCACCACAACATGAGGAACTGTATTAAAGGGTCGCGGCATTAGGAAGGTTGAGAACCACTGATCTAAGCCCTATTAATACACAAAGAGTAATTCTAGTTAAACAGTAAGTATCAATGTTTAACAAAATAATGTATGGTGTTATAACTTTATTGAACACACTAAACAGAAACTAACTGTGTTTTATTTTCTTCAAGTATAACATTTTTTTATTAATATAAATAATACAATTTGAGGGGGCTTCATTTGTCTATAGAACATAGTTTTAATAGTCCACTAGATCATCTAGGACTACGTAGTCTTTGAAATAATTGAAATTGGTTGCAATGTGTCTACTAGAGGGAAGTGATTTCTTCCTTAGTATTCTTTCATGAAGTCTACTCTTGTTCAGTGTGAAAACTCCACCAGGCAATGCAAGAGTAGTTACAACGGCACATAAGAAAGTGACTTATGACTGTTTTTCACCCCCAAGATCCCCATGATCACGTGATCAAAATTTAGACCCTGGACAATGTATTTATGCTGGTTGCCTGGAGTCATGTGATCACATTTTGCACCCTTCAAATGAGCAAAGTCAATGGGAAAGCCCTATTCACTTAACAACCGAGTTACTAATTTAATAACTCAAGTGATTTGCTTAACACTGTGGCAAGAAAGGTCGTAAAATGAGACAAAACTTGCTTAGCAATTGTCTTGCTTAGCAACATGAATTTTGGGCTCAGTTGGGATCGAAGGTCGAGGACTACCTTTAATCATAATAGAATCACAACAAAAATACAGGTTATAACTATAAGATGGGAACAGAGAGAGCAGAATGAAGGGAGGTGGGATCTGCTATGCCCTTTTACACAGTCATTACTGCAACTTTTGACAAACATTGGTAGATGTGTCTTATAGTTCTACTGGGCATGTAAAATTTCTCTATTTTTCTACCTTTAGTAAATAATCTACGAAGATGCACAAACTCATATATCTCTTTGTCACCATTTAGTGTAACTTGCAATCTTTCACTCCATTTTTATTAAAACAATTACTCTAGTCAATGTACAGGTCCAGTTCCCTCCGTTAAATCCTTTACTAAACATTCCACTGGTTCTCATGCATTTTATTTGATGACGCACTGCTTTAATGGCATTCAGCAACCAATACTGGACTCAGTATTTGTGCTAATCAAATCTAGGCCATTCTCTTTCACTAAATTAGCAAATGCACAAAAATATTTCTCAAAATCGTTGCTACTTTGTTTATTTTATTTTATTTTTACAGAAAACTCCTGTCAGCAAACATACCTAATACTCTTTCCTCCTCCTATTTTCTCCACAACAATCACCTGTGAGGTGAGTTGAGCTGAGGGGGGAGGGGGAGGAGAGAGAGAGAGAGAGAGAGAGAGAGAGAGAGAGAGAGAGAGAGAGAGAGAGTGTGTGATTGGCCCAAAGTTACTCAGCTCGCTTTCATGCCTAAGGCGGGATTGTAATTTCCTATATTATTTCAGTCAGTTTTCTGCCACACTTTTCCAGACATGCTTGACAATGGACGCCCCCCCCCACCTCCACCCCGCCTTTCCAGGATATTTCTGCATTCAATTGTTACCTCTTTCCTGACTTTTTTTTAAACATAAGAACAACAATGGTATTCTTACAAGATTGAAACATTTCAATATCCCAACATTGTTAATGCTTCTCTTTCATTACTTTTTGGAGGCAAAATTAATGTTTCTTGGTACTCATTTCAGCTGCACTCTGATATATTGCTATCACTTCCGTAGGGATCTCTAAAATATATTCCTTTCAGCATTTTTTTCAGTTCTGTTTCATTGCAAATAATTGCATCACTTTTATTCCCAATTCTGATAGATCTTCTGGAGATTCCACAGTTCTTCTAGGTAAGTCAAGTCAGCTTGGGTCAGGAACTAATATACTACAGAAACCTCTGAAACTGTATTTTATTCCTGTTGGATATAATAGAATTTTAAAAGCCTGCCTCAGTCAGTCAGTCAGTCAGTCAGTTATATTTCATGTTTCTTAGCCACCCATCTCATTCAGAAAGGGGCTTTGGGCAGTCTTCCTCTTATTCCTCTTTAGATTATTAAGATGGAGTTATTTTGATTTTCTTTCTCATGCTCCCTCCTTTCCCAAGGACATTTACTTTCTCCTGTTATCCCTTTTGCAGGGGTGTCAAACTGGCAGCTATTTGACATTATATATTAGTATACATATAAATAAAAATTAAAAAACATAGCTATAAGCAGTTACTCAGATTTCTTGAAAGTATCTACAATAAAGGTCACATTTCTACAATAAAACTCTCATATTCCTGCTATCTTATGTGTAAATGTATGCAAGGTGGTGCATTTTTATATTTTGCTTGCAGACTGCCTGTTTCCAAAGGCTCTAGGAGTCTAACAATGTCAGCATATAAAATAATAGTCCCAGAAAGCCCTCAGTATATATATAAAAAAAAGATCAAGAAAGAAAAAAAACCCCAAATACAAATACAATACATCCATAACCCTATCTTCCCATTACAACACACCCTCCTCCCAGTTAAGATGGAATATGTAGGTATTTCACTTTTTTCTAAAGTCAAAGGACTAAAGTGAATAAGTCTCTGCCCCAAAGCACAGCAAACATTTGATCAAGCACACTGCCTTGGATACAGAGTGTAAAGAAATTGCTGTTGATTTCTTCGTGCAATTTTCAAATCTTTCCTGCATCCAAAGAGAACATCTGACACATGGAAAGCCAAACTTTTGTGGTTTACTAAAATAATCTGCTTTAGTTCTAGAAATTTTAGTTTTGGACGAATATGCAACAGAATAAGTTTAATTTAGAATTACATTCGATGACTAAGACCTTCTGCAGTCATAGTGGGGTATAAACCCAAACTTTTTTCAACTTTGAATCCCAGGCCTAATATTCATAAATCTATCGGGTCCAGGAAAGTGACTCATCTCAAAGGTAAACTTTGATGTACTTTCCTTTTTTAAGATATGAACCCCTTAAAATTGGTTCACCTCCAAATTATCAAATCACCCTGATTCTTTTGCATTAACTTGGATTACAAAAATCACAAATGCTTTGTTTACCACTATTATTTACTTAAATTTATTGGCCACCCAATTCCAGTGGACCAGTTGCATTTGGTTTTACTGTTGTTGTACATCTGAGACAATTTCCACAAATACAGAAAGGGGTTAGGGATTAAATATACTGCTGGATTAAGGCTATGGACTGATGTAGACTTGCATTCTGCTTTCAGAATGCCTAATTCTGTTAACATCTATCAAGCTGGAGCATATTTAAGCATTTAAGTGAACGTCTCTGGAGTCAGAAGGGTAAGCAGGGCTGAGCTTGGTTAGAGTTTAGTTGGGAGACCTCCAGGAATACCAGGGGTGTCAATTAGACCTGTACCACTGCCAAGAAAACCTCATGGACATTTGAAGTACCAGCACTGAGTTCATATGGAAAGAAAATAATTGCTACGCCAGAGGACATAATCTCTGGCCTAGTGCTGCCAAATGGCACAAATGATTTGTAAACTACTTGGGGGATATTCTTTTTTTTTTTGTCTACCATAAACCTACTGCCAGTTAAGATTTGTTCTCCGGCCAAAAAATTACCATTATTTATAAGGGATTAGAGAAGGGTTTTTTTTTTCTCCTTGACCATTTATTTCAAACCATAATAAATCTCAATGATATTCATATATGCCAAACCATAGCATAGACACCAAACTAAGAAGCTCTAAAGTTGCTGTGAAGATGTTGCAATAATCTGACTATTTTGGCTGCCTCTTATATATTAAAACCCAACTGTGCAAGATGGTTTTTAAAGTTACCTCAGCCCTCAAGAAATAATTAATGAGGAACAGTTCAGTTACCGCAATCTGTGAGATGAATTTCAGGTAGTCCTCAACTTACAAGAGTTCGTTCAGGGACTGTTCAAAAGTTACAACAGCATGGAAAAAAGTGACTTATGATTTTTTTTCACACTCACGACCTTGCAGCATCCGCAAGATCATGTGTTCAAAATTCAGATGTTTGATGACCGGTTCCTATTTATGACCACTGCAGTGTCCCAGGGTCATGTGATTACCTTTCGCAATCTTCTGAAGAGCAAAATCAATGGAGGAGCCAGATTCACTTAGCAACCGGGTTAGTAACTTATCAACTGTGGCAAGAAAAGTCGTAAAGTGGGGCAAAACTTGCTAAACAAACGTCTCACTTAACAATCAAAATTTTGGGCTCAATTGTGGTCATAAGTCAAGGACTACCTGTATATTTCACAGACTACATTTTTATGACTTGACAGAATGACTGTGAGTGACTTGGCTTCTTACAAAACACTTGTTTACCACCTGCTTCCCCATCACTCTTTAGTATCCCAAGATAATACCTACCATCTCAATTTATGGAGTAGACACATTCCATACACAACACTGAGCTCCAAGCAGACACCACTTTTCAGACTGTCAGATACATGAGTCTCAAATACTTTCTTAGAAGTAAAGGTAAGGTAAAGGTGTATTTTGTGGTGCAGTACACTGACTTCCCATTTATTTTTAATTTTAAAAAGGATAACAAAAATCAAAACAATCTGGTGGTCAAAAGAATACGGTAGGCATCAGAGGTGGTATTCAGCCAGTTCTGACCTGTTCTGGAGAACCGGCAGTAGAAATTTTGAATAGTCCGGAGAACCGGCAAATACCACCTCTGACTGGCCCCGCCCCCATCTGTTCTCTGCCTCCCAAATCCCAACTGATCAGCTGGGTCTTCTTTTGTTGTCCTGCACAGGAGAATGGAGCTGGAAAGCAGGTTAGTAGGGTGGGGAGGGAAGGGAGATTTTACAGTATCCTTCCCCTGCCACGCCCACCAAGCCACACCCACAGAACCAGTAGTAAAAAAAAATTGAATACCACCACTGGTAGGCATGCTAAGCAATGTGCCCACATTGCCTACATAAAGCACAAATCCAGCCAGGAATCTTGGAAGCAGGAAACACTGAAAATATAGCCATCTTTCCATGGAAGATTCTGGCAGGGTCTCATTTCTCAATTTGTGTACTCTCCCTCTAAAAACTTCTAACTCCTTTTTGTCTGAAATGATATAGGATTTCCTGCCTGATCAGGGGGTTGGACTAGAAGACCTCCAAGGTCCCTTACAACTCTGTTTTTTGTTGTTTTACCTTTGTTTCCCAGGTCTTACCTGTTAGTATCTCTGGCCACATCTTCATAAATGCTTTGTACTCCAATTTCCAGCCTTGTGCATCCATAGGACAACATATCACTCAAATGCCGTTTTAGGCAATAATCTGGCCTGGTCTCTATAGTAATCCCAATGCACTTTGTAAGGCTTCGCTCAGAGTATCTGTAGAAGGAAGTAATACGGAAAGTGAAGTGAAAAAGAACTGCAAATGAGATGTGTTAAGTTTAAGATCATTCATGTTATGGTCCACAGGTTACATCTATCTAAGCTGGCACAGCTCATTACAATCACTGGCTTCAGATAATATTTTAGCAAATCATTTATGACAGCTACGACAATGGTGCATTCAAAACTGCCCCTAAATCTCTGCAGTCTGCCACTGAAATATTCTGTAAACTAGGATCTTTTGCTAAAAGATAGTCTGGAGCTGATCTCACTCGTGATTATCCACTGCACTGAAAAACTATGCTGCCTCATGTAATAATAGCTTTGGAGAAGAAGGACATTTACTTGAATGTTTTCTCCTTTCAGGACACTATTTCCTTTAGACACATTTCAACGTGAACTAGTTTTAAAGAGGTGTTAATTCTACTTCCAGCATTAGGAAACAAAGCAGTCTTTTCCCCCTCTATGACACTGGTGTCAAACTCGCAGCGTCACGTTGCCGTCACATGATGTTTTGTGACGTTTTTCCCTTTGTGGAGCTGGGGTGGGCGTGGCCTGCACGTGACACATTTGATCGGCAGGCCACCAGGTTGACACCCCTGCTCTATGAAAAGAACCAGAGAACAACGTCAGTGGGTTTCTGGTATTCACAAATACAAGATTTTATCACAATTTTATGATAGACAAATCAACATGTGAATTGTCTTGAAAATGTTTTTGAAGCTCACCAAAGACTGGTGCATGTCCACTATGCTTCAAAGAACTGCAGCCTTGACTTGAGTGCATGCCTGTGCATAGTGTCTTACTATTTAATGGGACTGATTTGCAGATGAGCCACCTCATTCAAGGCTAGCACAAGAACCACCTATCCCCAGATGAAAACCTATGAGTCTCGGCAGTTAAATGTTTTTACACTGCATTTTAGGGAAGTGCTTATCTGAAATACTTCAATAAGAAAAATCAATCAAAATTAGTTTGTATTTGTAGACATCCTTTTATTTCAGTTAAAATTATCATTATTTTACACTAGCTTTCGGGAGCAGTACTGTATTGCTTTATTGAACATATGGGAGGAGGAAGGGGTTGCTACTACTTCAGTTGGTTTGAGAATCGTGCCACAGGCTACTATGTGGGGAGGTAGCAACAAAAGGCTTGGAAAAGATATTCAGGTGCTATGTCTATACCTACAAAGATCACAGCTGTGAAGGCAATGCTCTTCCCTGTGATGAAAGTGTGAAAGTTTGAGTTTGAAGGAAAAGACTAGAAATAGAGCACTGACGTTTCTGAACTTTGTTGTTGGAGAATACAACAGCAAAGAAAACAAACAAATGGATCACAAAACAATAAATCAGTGTGGTCACTTGAGATGCAAATGATCATCTGGCTCTATTATATTTTGGCACAGTATAAGAAGAACCAGTTCTCTTAAGAAGTCCATAATGCTGAAAAAGATGGAAGGAAATAGAAGAAGGTGACCAGCAGCAAGACCAAGGTGGATAGACTTGACTTACAGTGGTGATAGGAACTTAGCTGGGGGAACATAAAGAACTAGATTGGCTGATAGATGCTCCTGAAGAAGGTCTATCTAAGAACCGAGAAAGGTGTAATGGTACGTGATCAATCAATTCCAGTGGATAAATATTATTTATTACTTTCACTGGATTTTAATCCCTTAATCAATTTGAATCTACCCTGGGAAGAAAGATGGGGTACTGTTCATTAGTCTTTCCCAAGTGAGTGAACTAGATGCTGCCTCACAGTCTCAAAAGGAGTCCCTTGCTGAATTTTGGAATCCATTGGATGCAAAATCTAGCTCCAGTTAGAGAGACTATAATTATACTCTCTAGAGAACCCTAAAAAAAACAACCCTTCTTGCCTCTGGTCTGCCAACTTCCTATAACTACTGAAAAGCTTTCACTTTCAGCCACATCCCATGCTTCAGGGGAAAACGTAGTTTTCAGATGCCTATTTTCAATGAATGAATGGTGGAACAAAAATTTTCCGCTGATGACTAATCTATAGAGTATTGTTCCAAACACAACCTGGCAAATAAAATCAAAGGTAATATATCTTGATTCTAAAGTAACCATTCTACTTTGAAGTTGTAGAAAAAGCATTTTAAAGAGGAAGAACACAATTAAATATAAAAAGAGATAGAAAATATGTTATTAACTCCATTTCCGACTTAGTCAGGATATCATCTGCTCACTGCTACAATTCTGCATTGCAGCAGCTACTGTTATTTGTCATAGCCATACTATGCAGCAAGTTAATCTAGAAATTAACTTGTAGAAATGTATTTCTTGAAGTCTAGATTAGATTATTGTAATATAACTTGGCATCATATTGATCCAGTACGAATGCAACATATATAGATAAATATAGATTAATAACCACTATATCCTATTAAGTCCAGAAAAGTAATAGCTACTTTGAGGAAAATGGCTGAGCTCATTGGAGGATTCACAATGGAGGCAAGTCACCAGAATGGAACTTTGAAAAATATAGACAAAAGTGAGTTGCATAATCCACAATTTACCCATCCTACAAAGTGTATTCATAGACCAGGACGGCAAGCAAGGTAAGACAGCCAATAAAGTCAATTCATGTTCCTACCAATAACCAGGACATAAAAAAGCAAGTGACATGGTTTAGGAATCAGGCACTGTATAGGACTTCATCAGGGAATAAATCAAGCCATTTAGGTTCTTTGAACCTAAGAATGACCAAGTCCAAGAATGACCAATGTTCCTTCTGGAACTGTATAGGGAATTTGATGCTGAAAGTTGCCAATCCACCTGTACCTTTATCAAGCTGCCTAGTACTCAATGAATCTATTCTAAATAAGTGGCAATTAAGGTGTATCCAGCCAATACTGAATATCTCTTCACCAAAACAGGTAACTGAATAACAACAATAACTTACAAAAAGGACATTCAGTGATATGATATTATTAGAGGGAAGAGGAATATTCTTGACCCTTTCTGGAATTGTTGTGCGGATGTTTTAAATATGGTCTGTTATTTTTATTTTATTTATTATATTTATAAGTCTGTCCATCTCACAAGAAGGGAATCTGGCTGGCATACAGTGAAACAAATCATAAAACAATAAATGTGCCAAACCTAGTCATATTAAACAAGTTAGAAAAAGAAGGACACACAAAAGATCTTACTGGTTCCCTGAAATCTCCAAGTACGGTGTCAAATCCGGGTCTTGAGGGACTTCTGAAAAATAAGGGTCAATGGAGCTGACCTCACTTCAGGGTGGAAAATGTTCTAGTAAGACTGGTGCCACCGTAGAGAAGGTCCACCTCCTTAAGCCTGCCAAGTGTAGTTCCCTGAGAGACAGGACATGCAGCAGGGCTATCATGACAGATCTGACGGGGCAAGCAGATGATCCCTCAAATAAACCAGCCCCATGCCATGAAGGTGGACACCAGCAACCTGAATGGTCTTGAATGGCTTAGAAGGAGACAGGCAACCAATGCATCTGACAGAATGGAGAAATAACACATTCTGTTTTAGAAGAACATATACCTGCCTGTGCCTCTATATTTTGCACCAGTGAAAACTTCCAGATAGTCTTCCATAGCAGTCCTACATATAGCACATTACAATACTCCAGACAGAAGGTGACCAGAGAAGGAATAACTGTCAGCAGAGCCGCCAGGTTCAGGAACCTGTGTAACTGGTGCACAAATGAAACTGTGCTAAGGTCCTCCTAGTCATGACTGCCACCTGCTCTTCTAGGAGTTGTGAGTCCAGAAGGACCCACAAATAGCATATTAGGTCTTTCTGGGGCCATGCACTGAAGATGGCATTACATGTAAACTGTTAACATGCCAGGTTTTTTATGTTTAGATTTTGGAGAAAGAGAGAGATGGAGAGAGAGAGAGAATGGAAACTTACACTTCTGACAGTTGGCAGTTTTACCATCAAATGTCATTTGCCTGGTCCAAGAAATAAAAAATGGGTATTCAGACCATCATGTCTGCTCCCACAACATTTTGCTCTTTTAATCTTGCTGTACTCCAGTCAATGACATCCTTGTGAGTTCAGCAATGTATTATTGAGGCATGTAGGAGATAAGTCAGGTATTGTGCTGCAGCATGTGTGTGTGCACACATACACATATCTTAAATTGCATCTGGAAGCCAATCAGTAATTAGAGCAGCTTGCAGAATAATGGTATCTCATGGCCATAACAAAAAATATCCATCATTGTACCACTGTATTCTGGAATACCTATAGATTCTGGGTAGTCTTTCAAAGGCAGCTCATTACAGCAATCAGTTTGTGAGCTGACTAAGATGAATGACTGAAGTGCTTCTTGGTTCCAGAAAAGAAATGTAACTGGTGCAAAGGCACTCCTGATCACAGCTGCTACCTGCTCTTTAGGTGCAATCAGTCCATACTGTAGATGTAATGAGGTGCAATGAATCCATAAGGATTCTCCAAACTGCATATCAGTCTTTGAATAAGGAACCGTGATCCAATCCAAGACCAAAGATCCCAGAGCCAGGCCTCTGAAATACCTAAGCCACTCAATCTTGTCAGGATTGAACCTGAGTCTATTCCTTCCCATCAGACCTACAGAGTTTTCTGATATTAGACTAGGACCTTGACAGCATCACTTTTGTTGACCTGGAATTGAGGTGTATGATTGCATATCATCGGGTATGCACTGTTTTCTGCAGTGTAGCCTGAATTCTTTCATAAGAATAGCCAACTCTGAACTGTAGTCAATTCTTCAAGGATTCCCCCCCCCCCCACACACACACACTAATAGGATTTTTAAATAAATTATAGCAGATTAGAAATCTTATTGTAGAGACTGGGCTATCATTTGGCTGCTCTCAGCAAACAGCGCTGCGGCTACCATCTGTTAGCAGAACAATTCTTGCTACTGAATTACTTACTGACAAACAATCCCTTCCCTTTCAGGGCACATTTTATTGTTTTTATTTATTATAGGAATGCTTTTCTGAATTCAGA